ATTCCATCGATAAGTAAGCTTAAAGTCGCTGGCCGACGGAATGAACGCCTCGAGACCACTGAGCCCGGCAGACTGCACGCGCGCCTGGAAAACGAGGAGCTGGAAACGTAGTGGTACTTACTTTACATACCAGAACCTGCCCATGGCATATCATGCACCCCTCATGCTTTTTTGGCATGGCAAGTCTCTGTTGTGCTGTGGTACCCGCGCCATGATCCTGTGCGCCAAGATACTTCGCATGCGTGCGTGCACGCTCAGGGAGAGCACGTGCTGGGTCAGTGAATGACCGAGATTCGCCAAAAGCGCCTGTGCCCACGAAACGGGGTACCGTGACCTGGTTGTCGTGGTTCAGGGCGCCGCCCCCGAGGGCAAGGTCATGAGAAACGCTGGCGGTGGCTGCACAGGCGTGGTCGGCCATTGCTGAGGCTGTAGGGGCCACGACCTTATGAGCTGTATCATCCAAGTAAGCCGTAGTAGATCAATCAATGTTTTGACCAGGGATAACATTCATCGGGTTGTTGCACATAAGATTGCGGCCTCCAGGCTGAGCTTGTCGCTCTGCGATCCAGGGCGTGGGTGCTGCAAGGTCGAAGCTGCGAATATACTTGACGGGGGGCTGACTGGTGGCCCTGCAATGCGCCCTCTTGGACCTGATAGTGCCCCACCCAATTGGAACAATCTAATGCAATGATATTATGATGGTTGATGTGTTGTCCCACATAGACATCATCTGGATGCATCTGAAGATGATCAGTTTCATCTACTAACTCAGCGCTGATACTCACAAAAGCATTAGCCTGGCCCCAAAGCATCGTGCAGTGCGACCTTCGAGGCGAGACTTTCGCCATCCTGTGCTTAGCTGGGTATTTATGGCAAGCTCGCGTCGCCTGTGCTGGATGCCACCGTGGAGGTGGTCTGCAACAACTCGCCCTGGGTAGCATGGATCACTTCGCTGCACAAGGTGCCTGCTGTATGTCTTGCTGAAGGGGCACATACGGTGACCTCGGCGAATGGAACGAAGGCCAGGTGCGGTGGCCGCGGGTTTGGGTATGCTGCATCCCCAAGAGCGGTACCAGTCGAGTGGTAGACGGGCCCCTCCTCGGACGTCCGAAAAGGAGCCCTCGAACTCGACGTGAACACCAGGCCATGTCAGGGAGCGTCGCGGCGAATTCATCTTGTTGGTCTTTGTATTTTGGGTGTCGATAGGAGGGGGGGACCACCGTCCGATGAACTTCCATAGGTAGGCTCCATGGGTGTGTGTGTGTGCTCTTTCTGTAGGCCATCTGAAGGATCAACGAGCATATTCCTTTTAAGTACTCCTCCGCCTAATCCTTGAAACCTGGTCCGTAAAAGCGGAGTCCCAGCCCGTTCTGAAAACGATCTTCTTGCGTGGAAGGAAGGGCAACAAGCGATGCGGATTGGCCACCGAGTAGGCCGCGCTGTGCGAGAAAGTCAGCCCACGTCTGGATCCTCGGTCGCATGCTGATCGGCTGATTGAAAACGTGGCGTCCTGGCCCGGCTGTTGCGCAGGCGAGCCTTCTACAACGTCGGTGGGCCAGAGACCACCTGGGCGCCTTCCAGGCGTCCCATATCTGATCTGCAAGCGAGTCCATGCGGCGATCTCTGTCCGCATCTCGGTGCTGCTTGATCTGCTTTGCCACCGAGAACAACTGAGATTGTATGTGAGTGAGCTGCGGGAAGAGCGCACTGTCAGCAACCAGGACGGCAGGAAGGGCACTAAGCTGTTCTCTAAGCTCGAATCGTTGTCGGAGCAGGGCTCGTTGGGATTCACGTTTCTGGTCGTAACCGGAGTCGGCTTCGGTGCATCTCGCAAAATATTCCAAAGCAATGCGTCGAACGTCTCCCGCAAACTTTCCCAGGCCCTGTCAGGGTGGCCTTGCCTTCAAGTTGGGGCCAGGCGGGCAAGATGCGCATGCGCATGTCCTCAATCCCCTTGAGAAATCTATCACGCCAAAGGCCATGCACAACGCCGTCTATTAACCGATCAGTATCCCAAGACTCAGCCTTTGTACAGGGCACCGTAGGTAAGCTGAAGAGGCACTTAACGAAGACCTGCAGGGGCCAATGGTCCCATCTGCGGACCGTGCGGACCATTTGGGGACGTCTGCCGAGCTTCTGGAGGACTCTGCGCGCAGTAACTGAGGAGAGCCACGTAGGGGGAGCCCAATGTAGTCAACTCGCATACTGTTCATTTTCCCGAAGTGTGTGTCCTCGCCGCCTACGAAGGTATTGATGAGACAAAGTCCGAACTGCTCAAGGTATATTCTCATCTTCTTCGTGCAGTAGTGCTTGGGCCGAGCAAAGATGGGTCCTACAGGGTCAAATTCGTCTGTGATGTGTTCGGCGGGTGGCACTCCAGTGTGGTCATTCAGGTTTCGCCGAAGACTATCGAACGTCGAGCTGGCTGTTCACTAGCTATATCCGTCATCCGTTTGATCAACGCATCGACATTTTTCTGATACAGACTCCTCTGTTTAGCTGTCGACGGGCGCGGTGGAAAGTAAACGACGATGGCGAGCAAATGAAAGCGGCCTGGTGGAAGGAGGACAGCGCCGCCTCGTCCTTGTAGTACAGGGGGAGGCGAGCATACTGCGGCGATGTATTTGGCTCCAACGAAAGTTTCCTTGGAAACTCGCAACACAAAATACATGTGCACGCCCATCGGTGAGATGACTCGTCGCGCGCGCGCGCGCTGAGCGCTCGCGCGCGCGAGATTCCAAGACGTCCCCATGGCCACAAACTGGTTCCAGGAGGGTCTGAGGCCAAAAACGATACCGTCCAGCCGACCCTGGAATGACGCCGCCCCAACACCATCCCGCCATGGATTCTAGACCGTCTCAGGTCTACTCGAAGATGACCAAACACATGAGCTACGATTGACGCCGAGATGGCCCGACGGCAACAAGATGGCCCCATAATGGACACGCGATGGCTGCACGACCCAAGCATGACTGAGACATGGTCTCGAGATGACCTCAAGACGACCCTGACACGCCAGGAATGCTGGAACTTCGGGGCCCAAACTTACTTCGAGCCGATCCCAGCATGGCGGGATCCGTGAACGACCTGGGATATTTGTTTACCCGATCGTGTATGGGTGGGATTTTCGCCTGGCTGAACTAAAGTTATAGTATAAAGGTGAGTCAGTTAGGCGGGACCCCGCACGGTCCACGGCAGAAGACTGCGTTGCTAGACTTCTACGGGGGGTAGGGGGCTTCGGACGGGGCGTCATTTACTCCCGCTGTCTTCCGCAAGCCTTCCGACGCCCTTCCGCCGTCTTCCGCCTCGTTTTACTTTCGTCGTTTTCCGCGAGCGAGCGATGTGACGAACATCCAAAGACATTTCATTGGGCTAATGTATGGCGGGTCCTGAATATGTCCTTCCTCAACCTTATCTGCACTCCTGCATTACCGTTCGAAAAGGCACCTCGACTTTATCCCCCAGCTGAGAAGGTGGAGATCTTTGTCTGCGATGCTGCTGCAACAACTGTCCGTGGCTTTCATGCGAACGCGAGTCCCTGTCAAGAAATCTACATCTTTGCTGGCGTACGAGAGAGGAACTTCTGAATGCAGGCCTGGCTGAACCAGAGCCCACGTTGTGTGTGTGTGTGTGTGTGTGTGTGTGTGTGTGTGAGAATGTGAAGGATGTGGTGATCCACCATTCTTCGGCGCGTGGGGGCGAGGGGCTCCTCAATCGCAGCTTGTATACATGGCGCGGAGGGTAAGAGTAAGAAGACTGGGAAAATGGGGCGTGTAAACATGGGGACGGGCGGCGCCGCTCAACGCCTAGGAGGAGGAGGATAATGATGATGAGGAGGAGGTTAAGGAGGAGGGGGAGGAAGAGGAGGAGGAGGAGGAGGAGGAGGAGGAGGAGGAGGAGGAGGAGGAGGAGGAGGAGGAGCGTGCGGAGGAGGAGAAGGAGGAGGGAATAGGAGGTGGCAAGGCCTGCGGTTGTGCGCAGATGCCTCCCCCGAGGCAGTCCTGGACTGGCTCCAACAGGTCCCCAGGGTAACCCGAGGCGGTCCCGACACCCTGACCGACACCGCCTCGAGGGAAGGGAGGAGAGGCGCTCCAGAAAAGGCCTCGCCTTCGAGGGATCGAGAAGTTGAGATCTCTTCCCCAGCGGAGGGCGGCGGAAGATCAGCCGGGACTGCCCCGCTGGCGGGGGCCGACGGCGTAAGCAGAACTCGGCCCTCCGGGAGATGCCCGTGTGTCTGGTTTCGGGGCTTTTTGGAACGGGCCAGGACGGGTGGCAGCCGCGCGCCCTTCCTGATGCCAGTCGCCAGCACGCGCACTGTCGTGCGCTTGAAGTTCCGCATCCCTCATCTCGGGGCAGCGGGGAAGAGATCAAAGGGAAGGGTTTCCCATCGATTTAGCTAGGTCTTTCCTCGATTCCCTTGTGGCTGGTGGACCCCTGAGGACCCCAGGGGGGCGGTATTCTGACCCGGGACCCCCCCCTTAACCCCCCTCCTTTCCTCTCCGCCCCCTCCGGCAGGAAATGGATCTAATGGAAGGGCTTCCCTTTGATTTCTGGCTGGTGGTTGAAGAGGAGGGCCCTGGGAAACGGACGGGAGCGGCGACGGCAACGGCGAGACGGCGACGGCGACGGCGAGACGGCGACTGCGACTGCGACGACGACGACGACGACGACGCTAGCGTCTACCACACGCCGAAAGTTTCGGCAGATTTATGTGGAAGAGGGGTAGTGGAGAAGGATGAGTGTGTTTGGAGGAGGAATCAGAAGGAGGATATGAGGCGGAAGAGGAGGGGGATTAAGAGGAAGATGATAAGGAGGAGGAGGAGGAAGAGGAGGAGGAGGAGGAGGAGGAAGAGAAGGAAGAGGAGGAGGAGGAGGAGGAGGAGGAGGAAGAAGAGGAGGGAGGAAGGGAGGGAGGGAGGGAGGGAGGGGGAGGGAGGCATGAAGGCAGGGAGGTATGGAGGAGCAGGAAGATCAGAGGCTTGCCCTGCATCGGCGGACAG